CGGGGTCGCGGTGGGCGCGTCCTCGGGCGGGCGCGGCGCCGCATCCGGCATCCCAACCTCGAAGACACCCCTCGGCCCCGCGTGACCCGCTCCCCATCCCCACGATGACGACTAATGAGCGCGAGTTATGCGCCGGGTCCGCACCAAGCTGAACAGGCGTGGCCTTCGGGCCTCGCAGTCCTCACGCTGCCGAGGCGGTGCCGCTGTGATCTGCGCTTTACAGACGAGGAAACTGAGGCTTATCGAGTCTGAGTGCAGTCTGAGGACGCACACTGTCCTGTAGAGCTTCTGTGAGGCTGGAAACCGTCTCGGGGCTGTCCGCTATGGCAGCCGCCGCCCGTGCACACTTGACGTGCAGCTGCTGAGACCGCAGAACTTCTTTTCCACTTCGTTTGACTTTTAATTAGCTGCACGTTAAACTGTCACGTGTGGCGACGGTATTGGAAAATGCAGCTCTGAGAGTTTCAAGGTCATTGAGGTTCAGAGCCAAGTCCTGGCTGGTCAGGGCACCCGAGTGCTTCCTCACAGCTGTCCGGGCTGGTAGAAAGAAATCTGGAAGTTTTGCCACCAAGTGTGTCCCGGATAAACCTACCGTCCTTGCCCCCTCCTTCTACCCTTAGGAGGGTCTCATCTCTGCCCTACACAGCTGTGAGATCTCTCTCCTCGCTGATTTCTCTACTCCCTCCCAAATCACTTTCTTCCTTTCTTTTCTTTTTTTTATAGTAGGAGTCTCACTCTGTCGCCCACAGCCACCGCAGCCTTGACCTACTGGCTCAGGCAATCCTTCCACCTCAACCTTCCAAGTAGCTGGAACTACAGGTACGCACCACCATGCCCAGCTATTTTTTTAATTTATTGTAAAGTTGAGGTCTTGCCAAGTTGCACAGGCTGGTCTCGAACCTGTGGGCTCAGGCAATCCTCTCATCTCAGCCTCCCAAAGTGCCGGGATTATAAGCGTGAGCCACTGTGCCTGGCCGAAATCACTCTTTCTAAAATACAAATCAGGCCAGGCACAGTGGCTCATGCCTGTAACCTCGGCACTTTGGGAGGCCAAGGTGGGAGGATCACTTGAACCCAGGAGTTTGAGACCAGCCTGGGCAACACAGCAAGACTTTGTCTCTATAAGAAGAAAAGAAAAAAGAAAAAAGTTAGCTGGGTATGGTGGCAGGTGCCTTAGGAGGCTGAGGCAGGAGGATCGCTTGAGCCCACGAGTTGGAGGCTCTGGTGAACTGTGGTGGTCCACTGCCCTCCAGCCTGGGCAACAGAGTGAAACCCTCTCCCTGACTCAACAAATAAATAAACATCAGATCATGTCACTCCTTTGCTAAAACCAAGGGTTTCCCTTTGCGCTCAGATAACCTCTGAACCTCCCGCGCTGGTTTCTGAGGTCTTGCGCGATCTGCCCCTGCCTGTACCACTGACCTCAGCGCCTCTCTCCTCTCCATTGCTCACTAGGTCACAGCCACTAAACCTGCTTGACATTGCTCAAACATCCCAGGCCCATGCCTGCTGCAGGGCCTTGGCAAATGCTATTTCATCTATCTATAATGCTTGTCCCCACATGGCTAGTTCTTCTCAGCAGTCGGTCCCAGCTCAGAGGCCGCCTCCCTGCCCACCCTACCTAAAGCAGTTCCCCCTACATCCCTACATAGGCCGTTCCTTCCCCCTACTGGGCGAGGCAAGAGACCAAGCTAGGCTTGGTCACTGCAGTAGCTTCAACACCAAGAACACTACCTGGCAAACAGTAGGTGCTCAATGAATATGTGTTGAATGCATGAATGATGGCGTCTTCAAACTACTGAATCCGGCCGGGCACAGCGGCTCATGCCTATAATCCCAGCATTTCCGGAGGCTGAGGTGAGAGAATTGCCTGAGTCCACAGGTTCGAGACCAGCCTGGGCAATTTGGCAAGACCGCATCTCTGCAATACATAAAAAAATAAGCCGGGCATGGCGGTGCGCGCCTGTGGTTCCAGCTACTTGGAAGGCTGAGGCAGAAGAATTACCTGAACCCAGCAGGTCAAGGCTACGGTGGTTGTGAGCGTGCCACTGCACTCCAGCCTGGGCGACAGAGTGAGACTGACTCAAAAAACCCACAAACAAACAAACAAAAACCTACAGAATCCTGGACCTCTGAAACCTTGG